TTATTATTATTACTATTATTAGAGAGAAAGAGAGCGACAGAGTGAGTGAGTGTGTATAAGTGTTTGTGTGTGTGCGCTCCTGTGTGTATATGTGTGTGTATGTGGGTATGTGTGTGTGTGTGCGAGCGCACGCGCATGCAGTGTGTACTGTGTATAATATGCTTGTATGTGTACGCTTCTGCGTTTATCTCTTAAGACACAAGGGTTGCGACGAATTTACAACCGGCACTTAATTGTCTATAAAATATTATTACAATCCATTATGCCAGTTATGCGCCTTTTTTCTCTGCTTGGCTGTTTATGTGCCGCAGAGCTGCACGGGAGGGATATAGGGGGTGGTGGAGGGGGGGGGGAGGGCTCTAAAGGTGTAGACTTGTAAATGTTACGGGGTTCGCCTCACATTAAATAGGTATCGGGTTCGAAACTCGACAGCGACGGAAAATTGTATTCTCTAAGATTTTCTCCTTAAAACCTCCTTTCCTGCTCTCTTACTGTCGTCTGTTTTTGTCTTCGGTTTCTGCACTCTCCCCTCCCCACCCCCACCCTCATTGCCCCTTCCTCTGGGCTCCTGACGCTTTCTGCAGTCTTTCTACTGCTACTCCTTGGTTCTTCCTTCTACTGTTTTTCAGCCACAACCCTGCTCTTAGGGTAGGTAAGTACCAATACCTAGCCTTCTTGGATAAGGGCGAAAAATCTTGGAGGTCCCATGTGCAAGTTGCCCACCTTAAAGATCGCTTGGTGATTCTAAAATCGATAGAGTAGGCTTCGGCTGTCACGCGGGTAAACTGCAAGATTACATACTTTCAAACTGAAAATGCTCTTAATGCGCCCCGCGTGTTCATATGACCTTATGCAGTTGCGAGCGCCGTAAAATACTTTTTTTTTAAAAAGAGACTGCAGGTGTCTGTGACATACTTGTTCAGCTATTCCCAGCCGCTCGCTCAGGAGACGTGAGTTCGAGTGAGGACGTCTATTTAGTCTTGTACGTCCGTCTTCCTGGTCGGGTGGTATATCACATGCAACTCGTGTTACTACGGACAGATACGGCCAAAATAGTGTGTGTTTCTTAAGTGATTTATAAATGTGTTGTTGTGAGCGTGAAATACAATAACTCTAACCGCACGTGAAATACAGAAACTCTAACCGATTGCACGTACTCAAAAAAGGCTACTGGTCGCGAAAACTGGGAACGGATGGGATTTTTGTGTGTGTGTGTGATTTTGTTTATGTTTTTGTTTTAAGGTGTGATAACTTGACTCATGGATGGCACCTAGGAAGAAGGGAAAATGTGAGGTAGCGTGGTAGAATCAGGCTGTCGTCAATTTTTGGCCATGTAGAGTTATTGGTATCATCTTAAAACTTGTTCAATTGTCTTTATTTGGATTTTTAAAAAATATCCATTTATCTTAAATACAAGTTGAGATAATTGAGAATGAAGGAAGTGGGGGGTCACCTGTTTTCAAAGGTAAAATTAGTGAGAAAATGGCCGCCAAAGATTAGTTATTTCCTTAGGTTAAGAGTTCGTGGTAACTGAAAATTTACATCTTTTTTGTGTCTTTAATCAACGTTTTTCAGAAAAATCCACACAGAAATGAGTTCTTTAATGGACATGAAAGGTGCTGAGCCAAAAATAAAAAATTTGATAAAAATTCACAAACCTGTGGAAAAATGCAAGTTTCATCACTTTGATTATTTTGACGAGAGCCTGCTTCCACCATGCTGCCTCACATATCCTCGTATTGTACCAAATCTTCATTCTTTTCTTTAAATTTTCTTGGATAATACTTGCTTGCTGCGTGAAACCTATCTTTCTACTACGTTGAAAATGCTGACATATACATATTTACAAACTACTCTTACTGTAATTACTGTAGTACAGTATAGCCTACGACTTGTTTGTCGTAGTAAGGAACAGTACTTTGGAGAATGACATAATGTGATCATGTTGTTGTTTTCAAGTTTTTATTCCAGGAAACTTGAGACTTCTTCTAAGGTTGTGACCATGCACTTTTGTAAAAGGTACAACATTCGGGAAAACCACCTCTTGAAGACGTGACTGGTGAAAGATGAAGGAAAGACAATCCTTCGGTGAAATGTGAAAGAATTGAGAAACTAGATGAGGAGGGGCGACTTTATAATGGTAGGGAGGGATTGGGGGAGGGGGGGGTACAATAAGAAAAAGGATAAAACAATTTCAGTAAAGAATAAGTCAAAGTGGGGGGAGAGAAGCGATAAAACAATGGATGATACGGGAGACAAAGAGCGTGTAAGAGTTAGAATGATGGAGCGAAGGAGAGGACAATTCGGTATCGTGAAGAAGAGAGTGAGAGAAGGAAAAAATAATAATGCACGATATGAGAAAGAAAGAGGATGTGTAAAAGTAAAAGACAGGGGAAAGGAGAAAACAATTTTAGTCTGGAGAGTGAGAAAAGAGAAAGATAAACTAATGAACGATAAGGTAGAAAAGGAAAGTGGGAGAGAAGGAGAGCAGAACGAAAAGAGAAACATAAGACTTATTATAATTACGCCAAAGTTCCACTCGCGCGCTCATATGACCTTAGCAGTTGCGAGCGCCGTAAAACCTTATACTATACTACTAAAAAGTTCCACTCGTAAGTACACCGACAACGACAGAGGAAGAAGACAGAACAGGAAAACGGGAGAGAAAGAGAAAGAGGGTGCACAAAGAGGAGAAGAATACGACGATGAGAGAAGACAGAGGAAAAGAAGGCGAAAAGGAAAGAAAACAAAATTCAGAGAAGGAGAGAAATTGAGAAGACAGGGAAGAAAAAAGATGCACTGTTGATTCCGAACTTGATCAACACGCATTTGGGTTGGAATCCGAGAAGAGTCCCATATGTGAGGCAGTGCGGTGGAATCAGGCTCTCGTCAAAATAATCAAAATGAAGAAACCTGCATTTTTCCGCAGGTTTTTGAATTTTTATCAAATTTTTGTTTTTTGGCTCTACACTTTTCATGCCCACTAAAGAACTCATTTCTGTGTATATTTTTCTGAAAAACGTTGACTAAAGACCTAAAAAATGCAAATTTTCAGTTACCACGAACTTTAAAGCTAAAGAAATAACTAATCTTTGGCCACCATTTTCTCCCAAATTTTGTCTCTGAAAATAGATGACCCCCTACCTCCTTCATTCACAAATATCTTGACTTGTATTCAAGATAAATGGGTATTTTTTCTTACAAATAAAGACAAATGAACAAGCTTTAAGATGATACCAATAACTCTACATGCCCCAAAATTGACGAGAGCCTGATTCCACCACGCTACCTCACATATTGTTCTCATTCTATACGGCATAGATCTAGTATTGTTCTTCACCCTATGTTCCGACAGAGAATTTGGAGCTCGTTGTTCAAAGTAACCTGAAGATTTGTCAGACAAGGAGTGTGTCCATTCAGCCCTTTGCTTCCCTAGAATTACAAAGGTCTCTCTGCACAGTACCTAGTATTGAGAAGTTTGACGAAATAAATGTTGAGTTTTACAACTTGGATACCAGAACTTCCCCCAATGTGTCCTTTGTGTGACTATGCATATGAGACAGTGGAACATCACCTTTTCCACTGTACAGCCCTAAATGACATCAGAGCTACCCTTCTCCCTCCGAGACGTACTTCGACAAGACACACTACGGAACATTACAGCAACTGCAGCAAACCTGCACTTATCACTACATGGCATTGGACAGAAGGGCGAGAACCCAGATGTTGCTGGATCGATAATAACAACAATAACAACAACAACAACTTGGATAAGCTTTTTCGAATGCATTTGTTTGAAAATAATCTTACGATTCCGATAGAACAGATAGAACATTTGGATTCTGACCTCATGGTTTTAGTAATTCAAAATGGCCAAAAATGTCAGATAGAACTTTGTAATTCTAAGCTACGAATTGTCATCATCTCACATCATCACTCAATACCACCATCATATGTATAATCACCAATGCTCTCAGATCCTTGACATACATCTTTACCCCCTGAATCTCTATCTTTAACAGTTACATGTTATAATAATTATGTCCGTAATACGCTGTTGTACACTAACATGCGCACCTCTTTCTACAAATCAGATGGCACCAATATAAAAGAAATTTGCCAAGGGATAAAAAATCTAAAAAGAAACCTCTACGGTTATTAATGCGTTACGCCAGTATTGGCATAATTCTGATCTTTTGAGAAGAGGGACACTTCCGCCTTGTCCGTTGGGTCAACATTAAGAACGAGAAAGTGTGCCAATACTGTAGAGATTAAAAAGTGAATAAATTATATATTAAAAACAAGAAAGTGTGCCAATACTGTAGAGATTAAAAAGTGAATAAATTATATATTAAGGAGGAGTAAGTGTGCCAGTACTATATATTATAAAGTGAATAAATGATTGTATTAAGAACGAGTATGCGTGTCAATACTATAGACTAAAAGTGAATAAATGATATACACTTAGAAAGTTAGAACGAGTATATGTATCAATAATATACATGTAGATTTAAAAGGGTAAATAAATTATTTCCTTCTAAACGACCAGTGTCTGTGAGATAGGGGAAAGACTGAATAGAACAAGGAAAGACTGAATAGAACAATGAACAAATCTTATGGTAAAAATCAAAGGAGTCAAGAATTGATTATACTAATTTTCAGACACTTTTATTGTGCATGAAATTCGTGGCATTGTGCATAACTTGTATCAAACTGTGTTCCTCGAGACAGCAGCACCCCCAGCCATCTCCCGTCTGGATGGTAATGAAGAAATACTGAAATAACTCAACAAACCAACAAAGAACGGTGGGAACGGATGTCCCCCATTTTTTGTCTCATCATAAACACACAGTCTTCACGACACCAGCTTGTATTTCCTTTAGGAGTTAAGAAAACAATCACGAAGTCACAGAATGTATCATCAGAAAACAAAGTAATACAGAACAATAATTAATATGAGAAAGGATCCGTCAGAAACAAAACTTAAAAAGTTATACCAATGATTTTTCCAAAAAATAAAGCTTTCATCCGAAAACGAGGAGAATTAATAAAGGGGTTCCATTATTTGAAAAATAAAAAATATTTCCCAAAAAATCAAGTGCTTTTTAAATCGCATCATAACATGAGAAGCTTATCTCCTCCCTCCCCCTCCCCCTTTTTTTTAAACAAAAGAATTCACATTCTTTATTTTTTTTAAAAACGAAACGTCCTCTCCACACTTTCACCATCCCAACAGCGGAAAACCAGAAGTACGTCTCACTTCCGCAGACAGACGAAGAGCTTCATTTCTTGTAGGAGTCCCTCACGGTGCCGGCGGGCGTCCACAGGTGGCGCTGGTACTCCTCGAACAACGGCATGTTCTTCCACGAGTACGTGTTCTTGTCCACGTAGTTCTCGTTCTTGTACCACTTGCCGGACTTTTGCAGGCTGGACTCTGTGTGCCGGCCGACCCTCAGGACGATGCCCTTTACCTTTTCAGGGGGGAGTGGTGAAATGGTATAGATTTAACGTCCTTATCAACACTGATAGGTTATTTAAGAAGAGGGACCTCCGAGTTGAACGTCAATCTCCGAAAGGACCGAGTCAAGAGGGAAACTCGTGTAAAGTCCCTTTCCCAAGGACGCAGCAACGTCGGACAGAGCTGAAGCTTGAACCACCGAACCCGCAATTTCACGATTCCGAGCCCGGTAGCCTGACCACTAGGCTATCGACGCCACTTTTCAGGGGGGGGGGGGGGGGGGAATTAATTATCCGTGGAATTGGGCTTGCTTAGCAGAGTTAAGAGAAGCACATGGACACAACATCAGTTGGATGCCCTAGACTTACAAAGTTCTATCTGCTCAGTACTTAGTTTAGGAAATTTGACGTCAAACTTTTTGAGTTCCACAACATGTCAAGGTTTTCCCGAAAGCAGTTCTTTGACTGTCTTGATAACGACTCCGAATAATCTTACGATTTTTGATATAGCAAATAGAACATAGTAAACTGGTTTCTGACCCCGTGGTCCCAGTGACTCAAAATGGCCAAAAATATCAGATAAAACTTTGTAATTCTGAGGCAACGAGTTAATTGATTTTTGATAAAAGCAAGACTTATCGAAACAAGAACAATGAACAATGGAATATAAAGAAGTAGGACCTTAAAGTGACATCCCCCCCCCCAAAAAAAAAACACCTGCCAGTAGAGGTAGGTTTGAGTTGAGTGATATAAATATTATTGTAAAAGTCTGAGTTTGCTTCTCTCATAGGGTTGCCTATTCTACTCAGTAACTAGAATCTCTATCTTTCCGCTGGTATGTTGTATACTACTCCATCTTGGTTTGGCCTGATGCTGACACGTTTCTATTTAAGAAGTTTTTTTACCGTCTAGTGATCAGTATAAGGCTACTGTCAGAATAAACATCAATGTTTCTTGCTTTTTCGAGTTTGTACCTATATAACGACAAATGCAGTTTTTGGGACACCTGAATAGACATAAGGGTCTTGAACATCTAGCTCTCACTGGCAAAATTGAGGGCAAGCGAGGTAGGGGTAGGCCCAGAACAACATACTTAGGGAACCTAAATAAATGGGTAACAGGGAAAGATCAGGGAAACGTAGCTTTTCTGAGAGAATCCAAGCAACGGAATGAATGGAAAATCTTGATCGCCGACGTCTGTCGCAGATCTGGCACTGGATGATGATGATAATCTATATAACTCTGAAAGTCTTGTAATTAGATTCCTTCATGTGATTGAATGATGCATCTGGTGTGATATGCACAATTTGTCAGTCTTACTTTTCTTGTCATATTAAATTTTAATGACAGTAATATACAATTTTTACGGTCCTGTACAGACAAGAAAAGTTTCCCTCTGGGACAACAAAGTATTACCTTGTCTTATCACATCTTATCTAATCTTATCTTATCTTGTTTGTTTGTTTGTTTAGTACAGGGTTTTACGGCGCTCGCAACTGCATAAGGTCATATGAGCGCGCGGGACACACCTAATACTTTTTCGTTGGTAGGAAATTTTGAATTTTGCCCGGGTGGCGGCCGAAGCCTACTCTTATCGATTTTAGACCACCAAGGGATCTTTAACGTGCGCAACTTGCACACGGGCCCTCCGAGATTTTTCGCCCTTGTCCGAGAAGGCTAGGTGTAGATCTTTCCTACCAGAAGATCAGGGGTGTGGCAGAAAGACAGCAGTTAGGAGGAGCCAGGGAGTAGCAGTAGAAAGGCTGCAGAAAGAGTCAGGAGCCCAGAGGAGGGGGCAAAGGGGGTGAGGGGGTGGGGGCAGAAAGTGGAAATGAAAGCAGACAACAGAACATTATTAGAGATCAGGAAAGGATGTGAAAGGAGACAATTTTAGATAAGAAAATTTTTTGGTCGCTACCCGGAATCGAACCCGGGACCTTTGAATGAGAGGCCAACACCTTAACCTCTAAGCCACGAGAGCCCCCTTATCTTATCTCATTTGATCTTATCTTATCTCATCTTATCTCATCTTATCTTATCTTAAACTCCAGTAACTGCCAAAGTGTCACGCCCTCAGCAACACTATTTAGATTTTTAAGAAGGTGGGCTACTTTAACTTTGTTTGACTGCAGGTTCCGAGACGCAGTGGGTCACAACATCCCAGCAGACGGACGGAGGTACAAAAGAATATAATATAATAATAATGATTGCATTTATATAGCGCTTATCCATGCTCAAGAGCATGCTCTATGCGCTTTACAACTATTATTACCCCAGCAGGCCCTCTGAAAACACTCAAAAACATTCTCGGCTTCCTCAGAGGCATACAGTGCAAGCTGCGGATTTCATGCGCTCAAACACTATCAAATTGACAAGATCGTTCACTGTCTATAGCCGGGTACCCATTTCCACCTGGGTGAAGTGAGGAAAATTTGTGCAAAGTGCCCTTCCCAAGAACGCAACGCCAGGCCCCTGACGGGATTCGAACCCGCGACCTTACGGTTGCGAGTCCGAGAGCCTAACCACTAGGCCACCGACGCCACAGAAGAATATCCCTACTCGAAAGTCGAACTCACGCCTTCAGTGGGCACCAGCAACTATAAACTACACCACTAACGCCGGCGGAGTTACGTAGGCCTAAACTACACTGCCCTAAGCTGAAAAAACGCCTTGTTAAAATTCACAGCAGTTTCGAGATAAAGAGGCTTTTTGATAGCGTATTCATTTAAAAGAGGCGTTCTTTTGAATTCTAATTTTTTCAAAAACTAATCACATCAGTTTCACTTTGAATTGTTTCACAACAAGTAGGGTAACTGATCAGGTTTTCGATTTAGCAAATAATAAAAAATAATTTAAAAAATTGGCTCCAAAAGTGGAAATGGGCGTTTTGTCATTTTGTACAGTAAACGTGGGCGGGCGGGTTAGATTCGTGTTCTGACTGTAAAGTTCCCTCCCCTTTCGTATGTGCTATTTTTATTCCTGACATTTCAAGTGACGTCTGCTTTTTGGGGGCTCATGTGCTGACGCAGTGATGCAGCTTTCACATTTCTCCCGCCACCCATACCTCCCTTCCCGCCAAGCCCATACCCCATTTTCTCCATTTTCTTTTCTCACTTTTTCCGTTCAAGACATCTCCTGCCACCTAATTTTTTTAAAACCACGTTTCTCCCTTCCCTCCCCTTCTTCTTTCTTTCACTTACGCCACCCCGACCTCCCTTTCTCTTGCTCAACCCTAACCTTTTTTTCCAGTTCCCACTGCCCCCATCTACCCCC